TCTGCAGCTATCGTAGGCGGGTGATCACCGAGGAATCAATTCACACGATATTCTCGAATTGCTTCAAGTGCATCCGTGTGAATACGACTCAATCCTGCTTGATAGGCCTGTTGATCTAGAGGCTCTCTTTTGTACCTTTGGACCTCTCTCTACAGATTATTAAGATCCTTCCTGAAATGCCTAGCGGTGGGCGCCTATCCATTAGGCAATAATTTGGATGGCTACTTCTATAACATCCAAGCAGGTGTTGTGTGTTGACGCACAGGAAGGATCTATCGAATGTGGCACCTAGAATATTGGGGTAATTGGTGGTCTAAATTGTGGACCCATGGTCCTACACATTCAAATGTGATGCATATCCGCTTTCCATGTGGTAAACAGTGTGGCCGTTGATTTAGTGGAAAGTCAGCTATATCCACGAGATAGTTCTGCCTCTCGAAAATGTCATCAATTTTGGGTCTGGCGCCATGATCGTACAATCATCCGACTATGTTACGATCTTTACGCCATCCGTTGGGTTTGAAATTCCAGAAAGGTAGAGGTTAAGCAGTTTCGTAGATATCACCCTTCCTTGGGAGTCTCCCTGTTTAACACTTCGGTTCTCCGACTTCCTGTTTCTGATTTCCGCATACGATAGGCGCCCATTCATATAATTCACGATTCAACGTTTCAAACATGGCTCGAGGGTTGTTCTTTCGACGTCCAGATTCCATCTGGATCAAGCGCCTTGGATGATTTTGCGCATCTGCTGACACTTGTAATATCCTCCAACGAAAGTTTTGGTGATTCCTCCTCCACTTTAAGAGATCTTATACGACGCAATGCTCTTCTATTCGTTCTGTCACTCTCGGTGCGCTATAAACATCCAGTTGAAACAATCAATCTATCACCTCAACGCCGTTTCTTCCTGGGTTCGAGAGCGACTTAACCGTTGTCCAGAATTTACTCACACCGGTACTGATGTTGCAACACTTCAGATATTCTAGTCCTTTTTTCCGCTTGTGCTTGCCGACTAACCTATTCACTTCCATTGTCAGTTCGCTCATTTGCTAATCCCGCTGTCTCTGCTGGGAAGTTTGGTCTTAATACGTCAAGCGGCTGCAGCAGTGTGTGCTGTATATCGTATTGCCGGTCACGTCTTACTTTGGTCCTTTTTTTACTGTTTTTTACCACAATTTGATGGTATTACTTCCTACGCAATATCAAATCACATTAAAATCGTTGACATTTTTATCGAACTATATTTAAATTTTATAAAATTAAGGTATTTTTCCAAGATCTTTAGTAAGCGTTTAGAATAGGATATGAAAAGATCATTAATTAATTCTCCGTAAAACATTTTTACTTGTTTTTATTCAAAAGAGTCGAAATGTAGAGACGAAGTATAAATAAAAACCAGTGACCGGAGCAGTATAGTCGGACGCGGCCGACCATACGATACCCTACACAACTTCCATGAAAATCTAACATTCTGTGGTTCTATATTCTGAGATTGGGCAATATTTCCCCATATTTGCACACTTTTGACTGGCTAGAGGTCAGCAAATGTTACTAATAATCAGTACAGCCCCTCTAATTACTTGCCAGATTCCCTTCATCGTGGGTTGTGTTGTGATGTTCGCCTTTCGACTCGAAAAATACAAAGAATTAAGTTTTCGGTCCACTTCATCCGAAAAATTATTATCTGATCATCACCTAACATTTTAGGCGTTGTCCTTGACCATAACTGGAACCTCATGGATTCAAAGCGATCAGCGCTATATTTCCGCCATCAAGTGTGGTAATAGGTTACTAAATAATATATGAATATGTAAGTACCTGTAAATATTTTAGTGTAACTCCCGCGGCCTTTGGAGCGACCAGAAAAACCGACAAAAAATAAAGTTTTTGTTCCATTTCATCCCCTAAATATTAACCGATCAATAAGGGTCTTCATTGGCCAGAACCCATTTTACATGCAAAATTTCGTGAAGATTGGTCCATAACTGTGGACTGTATTGTGTTTACAAATTATAATGGACAGACGGACGGAAACACATGTCTAGATCGATTCAGCTGTTCGAGATATGACGATCGGTATACTTAAAGGTGGGTCTAAGACCAATATTTCGCGGCGTTACAAACTCCTTGGGCTGCACAAAGCTATAATACCCTGACAACATAATTGTGTAGTTTTCGGTTTATTGCACCCCTGAATGAAATCTCAACTTCACCTAAAACTATAGGCGTCATACTTGATCATAATCGGAACTTCATGTACAATTTCAAAGCGTTCAGCGCGACATTTCCGTCCTTTAATGGAGTAATAGTAATACTATGCACATAGTCATACCTAATTACGTATAACTCCCACATCAGAGTACATACAGCCAGATTTTCTAGTCGTTCTTGAGGCAATTATTATATGCAGAATATCACATATTTTAGAAGGTGAAGGGGATCTGACCAAATACTTAGAGCGGCTGTTTAGATGATGATCGGTCAATATTCCGAGGGTCAAATCAACCAAAACCTAAAGTGACCAATTTTTTTTATTTTATGGCGTAAAAATTCACTTCAAGAAAAAAATTTTGGACAATTTGCCAGGGTTAGAAAGTGCAGTTGTTAATCTATAATCGGTAAAAAGCGTGCAAATATCTCGAAATATTGCCCAGGCTCAGAATATAGAACCGCCGAAAGTTTGCTTTTCGTGGTAGTTGTGTAGGGTATCATATGGTCGGCCCGTCGACTATACTGCTCCTCTCACTGGTTTTTAAATAATAAAATAATCAAAAATAGTTAAATTATTTCATCGAAAAAAACTATTCGTACATATAAACATTTTTGAAAAATTAGATTTTAAATTTCAGGGAATTTTATGTATTAGCCACAACTTTACATTTTTGCCGTGTTCTTTGAGCGAAATTTTTTGTAAATATTGTCAGGGTAAAAATTACCTTTTGTGAGGACTGTTATCGTGAAGTATTACATATTTTTGGAGTAAGTTCCAAATTAAAATATAAACATGTAACCTGGAAGTTGGGACCGAATAAATAGTTTGCTATATCCATAGTTTGCTAAAAGAGTGCAAATATCTATGATAAAACTTCACAACCAGGAAATATGGAATGGAATTACTTTGAAAAACCCTAAAATTATTTGTTTCTCCAGTTGAGTTACGATAGATAGACGGCGAGTATTGCCAGCCTCGGACAAAATAATAAACCCGTGTATTGAAACTTTATAATGATGTATTTTAAACAATACATAATTATAAACATTCAATGATTGACTTCTACCAATAGCCTTAGCAAAGATGTTTCTTCATTGCGTACAAATTTCAGCACCGTACAAATTGCAACAAATATACAACAAAACTAATGCAACTGAAATAGCAAACAGAATAAATGACCTGTAACTTTTTATAAAAATAAACTTATAGTGAATGTTTTTTCTGCCATAAATCGGTAATTTATTCACTAAAAAAAAAAAACAAAACAAACACTTGGACAAAACTAAATAATTTTTTAATCGACGGTATAACCATTATTATTCATTACGGCAGCACTACTCTACTACTCCACACACCCTGAACCTGTGGGAAGAGGTTATGTTTGTTTCTTTGTGAATCTCTTTTGCTTTTGCTATCTATGATTCTACAAAGATTTTTCTTTTTATAGGATGAACATTAGATGATAGTGATGACCATTATGAAACCCTGAGTTTTGACTCCGCAACCAATCTTTGACATATTTTGGTGTACGTTTGAAGGTTATTGGCAAGTTGATACACCTAACAAAAAAATCCGATCCATTACTTCAAACATCTCGTAAATATATGGAACTTCATAAAAGAACAGCCGATCCTTTGGACGATTGATGGATCTTTTAAGCGGGAATTATATCATAATATATTTATCCCCTCCAATGGGGAAATCGAACAAAATCTTCTTAGTATTGAAAAAATGGTGCTATCCTTATATGAAAGCTTTGTTAACTCATGTACTCATGGATATTGATAATTTTACATCGGTGGGTAATTTGGCTTAAGTCTTCAAAATACCGAATATGTAATGGTACCGTTATGTGGGAGCTATACCAAAAAGTATATTGGCAATGATATTATATATGGAATTCCCTAATAAAAAGTTATCATATTTATTGGGAGGAGAATCTGAAAATCAAATTAGAAACCGGCCATAACCAGTAAAATACCGAATAATAGGTATATATGGGGGCCACAGGGAAACATGGGACAAGTTGATGCACCTAACAACAAAATCCGATCCATTACTTCAAAAATCTCGTAAATATATCGAACTTCATAAAAAAACAGCCCATAACTTTGTACCCTTCTCCTCCATGCATGTTTTCATGTCTGAGTCTTTGTGATTCTGTAAGAGCCTGTAGGATTCGAAATAGGAGTAGATACTAAAACTTAGTAATTATAACTCCCTTATCCATAAATTATTTATTTCATAATGAATTTTGCTTCAATACTTTTGTTTGTTTTTCAAAGGTAAGTAAAGTATCCGATTTAAAATTGAAAAAACCAATACGATATCTTTATTTTTGAAAAAGTTGTGAATTACCCACACCAAATCAGTTTGGCTGCAAATTATAAAAACTTTTTGTGAATTTCCCTATCAACTAAAACTACCTTATCGAACTGAGCTAAATAAGTTGTTAAGGATCGACAAACCTTTTCACATAGCGTTATATGGCGCATACACAAATATAATAGAAAAAAACTTTTCATTTGTGATTGTCCTTTGAAATTGAAGTTTTCCATTTCCTTGTAGAAAAACATACCAAAAAAAGAAATCTCCACATAAAAGGAATCGAATTGTAGTTGTCTGTCTTAAATTAACTGAAACATAAACTTGCAAACAAAACTTGTCCATTTCAGATTACTTTCCCTTGCAACAACATGGCAGAATCATGTCAACCAGAACATTTTCTCTTTTACATAAAAAAATTCTCGTTGAATTGCTTGTAAAGTTTCTTTCTTTTTCCACTTACCTTATTGTCACAAATGCAGATGCCGTCGCTCTACCAAATTCATTCTTCACCGAGCATTCATAGCGTCCGCCATCGAATATGGTCACATTGCGTACAAACAAACTACCAGTACCACTGATTTCATATTTGTTCGTTAACAATACATTCGGATCAATTATACGGCCATCTCTGCGCCAAGTAATCTGAAAAAATACAATACAAACATTCAATAAAACAGATGACGACAGATGTACAAAAAAAAACACCAATGACCCTTGATAGATGAATGGGTGGGTTTGGCAGGGTTGGTTAATGGAACTTGAATTGTTCTGCCCGGTTAAAAATCGCCAAGCCAACCATAAAAATACATCCTACCCAAAAGTAAACTTCAGTCTATTCAATCGTCCACATCTGACTAACTCACCTGTATGCCGTCTGAATCCTCTGTTTTGCAGGGCAATTCGATGCTGGTTCCGCTTAAAGCATCCAGATCGAATGGCTTAATAAGCAGACGTGGAGCACTGTTAACCCGTTCCACGGTAACGGTTGCCGATACCTTTGTGTGTCCATTCTCGTTTTCAGCAATACACGTATAGACGCCTATCGAAAACAGAAACAGAAGAAAACGAAATAAAAGAAAGTAAATTAAAAAATCATTACTAGAGCTGTACATCAGTCAGCCAGCCAGCCAGCACAGTTTCCAGCGCTGTAATAAATTTCAATTTATTTTTTGTTGTGTTTATTCGTTTTATACAATTAAAAATTAATTCATTTATTATTCACATTCGAGACGATTGATTGTTTTATTATGTGGCTTTTTGGCTCAAACTAATGATTATTCTGTGTACATTTGATAAGCCACGTTAAGTCCTTTCTCATGAAAATGACTTTAAAGTGTGTTAAATCGAGTGATGTTATGCACCATAAAGCGGACATATGCAGAACATTTTTTCTGTTTGTAACACCTTGAAATATTTACCGAAGACGTCATAATGTAAATATATATTATTGATCAAAATATAATTCTATGTCGATTTAAATATACTCCTCTCTCTGTTGAAATCAAGATAGAGCTCGTAACATAAGATAGAGCATAGAAACTTAAAACACATTGCTACTACTCCTAGGATATTTGGTATGTAACCGTACCTCTCAGATTTCGTATATAAAACTCGGATCCAAAATATCAATTTACATAGTAAACACATTGTTAAATTCGGCGAGGTCGAACTTTTTATACCCTCCACCACGTGATGTGGATTTAAAATTTCTTAATTCGATCGGGACGTTTGGACTTTTGATGGAACTTTTAAGCGGGAATTATATCATAATATATTTTTCCCCTCCAATTGGGAAATCCAGCAAAATGCTTCTTAGTATTGAAAGAATGGTGCTATCCTTATATGAAAGCTTTGTTAACTCATGGACTAATTGATATTGATAATTTTACATCGGTGGGTAATTTGGCTTAAGTCTTCAAAATACCGAATATGTAATGGTACCGTTCTGTGGGAGCTATACCAAAAAGTATATATGGAATTCCCTAATAAAAAGTGATCATATTTATTGGGAGGAGAATCTGAAAATCAAATTAGAAACGGGCCATAACTAGTAAAATACCGAATAATAGGTATATATGGGAGCTACAAGGAAACATGGGCCAATGTTGATAATGAGGGTATATACACTTTGATACGGTGAAAATGTGCCTCATCGAAATATTGGTTTTAGACCCTATGTTTCTTTGGACCAAATCCGTTTCAGAAAATTTGAAGTCGATTTAGCCATGTCCGTCCGTCTGTCTGGCAGGTGTGCACGATAACTCTCGAAGGGAATAATCGATTTCGTCCAAAATTTGCACATCTTAATATTTCTTCCAAACTTAGTTCAAGTTCGAAGATGGGGAATATCGGTCCACTCCTTCTCGTACCTCCTCCTCAGATTCAAAATATAAATTTACATTTTGTTGAAAAGTGTGTCCAAAAATCCCTAAAATACCGAATACTCGGGGATACTGTTATATGGGAGCTACCCTATGGGAGTTATACCCGATAGGAACCAAACGTAACAAATTACAGCCATTCGGATTAAAAAATGTGTTCTCATTGCGTGCTACATCTTACTACTAATCATGGCATAACCCGCTATATCTTTTAAGGGCCTATCGATTACAATCGCTTTAAATGTACATCTCAGGATAGAGGATATAAAAAGATCGGGCCGGCCGAACTATACCACGTTTTTTAAGAGTTCAAATGAAACTCCAATTTTTATAAAGAGTACCAAATTGAATCAGGTATGGCGTGTACACAATTTGTCAAGATCTGTTCAGAATAATATATAGCTTCCTTCTTCGTGCGATTTCATGTAAATGGTGCACCAAGGACCCTGTTTATTTTCGATTGAAACATTGCTATGCATCTAAAATGACGTATGATAACATTTTCACTCGATTACATTCAAATAGTGTCTGTTTGTCTGTCTACGAAACTGTGGAAATCCAATCCGTTCAGATTTATACTCATAAAAAAGCTATGGTTCTATAATATTTCATATTTAATTAGATGAGTAGAATGGCTGATCATGTAGAATTGACATTATTTTATTGCAGATGATTTTGAAAGCAAATGCTATTGTCACCATATTCTGACTTGTCACCATATTACCTCTTGTGTCACTATTTGGTAGGGAATTTAATTTGTTTTTTCAAAATAGTTTTTTTTTTTTATTCATATAGTATAGAGCAGCAGTGCCCGAAATAGGTCTCATGGGCTGTCGGTGTGTGTCAAATTGCTCACATTTGTAAATAAAAAATATTTTCAAAATTGTCATTCATTTATTTTTGTTTTCATATACAAACAGATAGAATGGGGATATTTTTTGCAAAAATTAGTTCGGAACAAATCAAAATATTTGACCTATACTATGGCGGGAGGGTAAAACAGAAACAAACATACCTTTATATGGGAAAATATATCAGCAACAACCATATTTGCATTGAATATAAAATGTTTTTCTTTCTTAAAATTTGAAAATAAAAATTTTTACAAAATTTTTCACAGAACTTTTGAAAATTTTGTATTTGAAACAAATACAAACACAAAAACTTCCACACAAATAAAAGTTTTTCTAATAGAAAATATTTTATAGAAATACATTCAATAAAATATTCTCTTGTGCTCTAACTTTAAAATAGTTTCTGCAAATAAATTGACTAAATTAATATAGCCTCCATCTTATGGTCAAAAATGGAATTTTTTAAATAAAATAGACTAACAAAAAATTCTTCTGAGGATTTATTTCGAATATATACAATGGAATTGACAATTTAAAGACTATGGATTAACGAAATCCGATACTATATAAACATACTATAACAGGTCGTAAGCGTATTCGGAGACGTGTATTTTGTCTACATAAAATCGCAATTATACTATGCAAAAAACCAGCAAGAAAAGGTCGGACGGAGTCGGCTCCGATATGATACACTTCACCACTTTGGGTACATACAAGAGATGTTAATGTGAACAATATCCTGTTGATAGATGAGACATAGCATCTTTGGAAGACCATTGAAATGAAAGAAAGTTTCGTTAAAATCGGTTAGTCCATTTGCATGTTATTATAAAATTAATGTTTAACGCAATTTTGATCATTTTGTGGGGGAGGTACCCGAAGGAGTGGACTGATATTCTGAATTCAATACGCTATGAAAAATGTTGTCTCAATCGGGCAAGGAAGCTGTATCTAAATCTTAACTGATTTTCTCCAACTTCAATAAAGTTCGTTTTTGATAATAAATCCGAGTTTTCCAACCGATTAAACTTACCATTTGCATATCAATTATTGCAATTATTGCCATAAAAGGGCTTAGAAAATCGTATTTCGGATACTTTTCTGTACATAAACCCTATAATCCCCATCCAATCGAATTTGCTACACACTGAACACTTTTAATATTAACCCACTTTTTGAAAAAGCTTTTAATGCCTTTGTCTAAAAATATCTTTACAATCATACCCTGAGGACACAAATATATATTATTAAATATCAAAACCGTCTCTTTTACTATCTCTTTGATAATTGAAATCTTTTGAATGTACATCATTTGTCAATTGCGTATTTTTTCCATAAATGATTCAATTCATATCCGTTGACACTTGCAGCTAAATACTTGTTATACGACGTGCTTTGAGTCACAAAAACGTCAGAAAAAAATCGATATTAACATTAAAAAAGAGAAGTTTATTGCTGTAAGAAAATTTAATTATTTTCCAATATAGTCTTGCCTAAAGCCACTGTGCAGCCGTTTCATTTATTCATTTATTGTAGGAGATAATTATTATGGATTTTTACCTGAATCCGATTCCTTTGCTTTATTCACAATCAATTCTGTATTTTCATTTTCCAACACGAGATGGTCATTGTCGGCCGATGTTGTTATTGGTTCGCCATTAAAATGCCACGTTATAGTCGGTATTGGATTACCATCTGCATCGCATTCAAGTACAAAATTTTTGCCAACTTTTATTGTTTGATTTTGTGGGGCCATTAGTATTTCGGGTAATTCTGAAAAAAAAAAAATAAAAATAAATATGGTATGACAATATTTTAATATTAATTAATTTAATTAGAAATACTGATGGTTAGGTTTAGGTGAAATTTAATGTGTATTCATAATGTTTTAATTATTTTATTTTTGTTCTAATACTAACATCAATTATATACATTTTCAGCCTGTTTTTGTAAAATTCCAAACGAACGAATTCGAGTGACTTACGACCAAACTCCTTGGTTTTGAAAAATATGTCATTTATTTTTGTTTTGAATCAGAAAACATTTATAAACATAAATAAAGGTTTGGTCGTAAGTCACTCGAATTCGTTCGTTTGGAATTTTACAAAAACAGGCTGTTTATATACAGTGTGAGATGAAAAAACTGCAACCAATTTCAGACTGCTGTTATTTCTAAGCCACTCGTCCGACACCTGTTATTAATAATTATTCCAGTGACAGCTCATTTTATATTGTTTACAAGTGTATAAAAGCATTTTGGTGAGAAAGATGTTCGTAGTGGTCGAAAAATGGCTCGTGAGCTAAACATATCGCAATATTGAAAAATGTGCTCGGGGTAAAGCCATTGAAATTCCAAAATGTGCAAGAACTTACATCGCAATAGAAAGAAAATAGACTCAAATGAGCTAAAGATTTGCTTCGCTGAAAGTGGTAAACTGCCGAATTCTGTTTTCTCAGATGAGAAAACATTCGTTGTCCAGCAGTTTGTAAACAAACAAAATGATCGCGTTTACTTGCCAAAGAGTTCGGCTGAAAATGTGCAACTTCGGTTAGCCACCAGAACTCAAGCGCCGGCAATGGTGATGGTGTGGGCCGCCATAACAGCCGATGATCGCTCTCCGCTCGTATTAATCGAATGTGGCATCAGAATAAATGCCGAATATTATCGCGAACATATTCTGGAGAGTATATTAAAGCCTTGGGCACGCAAACATTTGGGCCGCAGGCCTTGGACATTCCAAGATGACTTAGCACCATCCCAAGAATGGTTACAAGATGAGGTTCCTCGTTTCATTTCACCTTAAGCAAGCGCTTCGACGGGAATGTGGCCAATTCGAACAAATCTAAACTTATTCTAAAATTTTATGTTATTACCGACATTTGTTGCTTTATTCAATAAAAAAATGTATAAATTATGACGTTTGACTTTGCTGCAGTTTTTTATCTCACCCTGTATAGAGGTTTTTAATACACAAAAAATATCGGATTATTAACGAAATCATATTTTTGTGCTAAATAAATAAATTGCAAAATTTCGTGCTAACCGAAAAAAATGTAGGGGCTTTGATACTCTATTTACATGAAATCAGACGAAAATATATATGGGGGCTACATCTAAATCTGAACCGATTTTTACGAAACTTAACATTTAACATTCTAGACTTAATTCAGTACACTATGCCAAATTTCGTGCAAATCGAAAGAGATATAGGGTGCACTAAAGCCACCATTCACATAAAATCGAATATAAATATATATGGGAGCTATATCTAAATCTGAACTGATTTTCAGCAATTTCAATAGACTTCTTCCTTGGGCCAAATAAATGAGCTGTGCCAAATTTCATCTAAATCTGATTTTAAATGCGACCTATACATTGTTTACAATTTAACATCAACAGACGCACGGACGGACATGCATAAATCGGCTCAGAAAGTGATTCATGCATATTCTCAAAATTACACCATGGGTGTATCTCGTTTCCTTTTGCCTGTTACAAACATATGCACAAAGACCTAATACCCTGTATCACAGTGTGGTGAAGGGTATAAAAAGTGTAAGTCGGTGTTGCCGATAGACAGAAAATGTTGATCGGTTGTGGGATAGGTAACAGAAGGAGTGGACCAATGGGTCCCATCTTCGCACTTGATCTAGGCTTGATTTCAACTTTTTTGTAGGGGAGGTACCAGAAGGAGTGAACCAATATTCCCAGTCTTCGGTCTTGAACTGAGTTTGGTAGAAATATTAAGATGTGTATAGTTTAGATGAAATCGGATTATCCCTATGATAGTTATCGGGCACACCCGCCGGCCAGACTGATAGACGGCCGGACATTTGTAAATCGACTGCAAATATTTCGATGATCCACATTTCTAAGGTATATATAGCGTATATACCCTCATCCATCAATCCAAGTGGGACCAAGAACAAACATATGCCTAAACCAGTGAGCGGAGCAGTATAGTCGGACGGGGCTGACCATATGATACCCTACACAACTTCCACGAAAATCTAACTTTCTATGGTTCTATATTCAGAACTTTGCCAATATTTCGCGATCTAATTCTAATATTTTAATATTCAGTAGACGGGGACTGTACTTGTCCAGATTCTTTACCGTGGGTTATGTTGTGATGTTGGGCTTTCAATTGTAGCCTATAGGTCGAATCGAATAAAACACAAAAAATGAGTTTTCGGTCCACCTCATCCCAAAATTATTATCTGATCATCACCGAAAATTATAGGTGTTGTCCTGGACCATAACTGGAATCTAATGGAAAATTTCAAAGCGATCAGCGCTATATTTCCGCCCTCTAGTGTGGTAATGGGTTACTAAATAATATCTGAATATGTAAGCACCTGTAAATATTTACGTATAATTCTTACATCTGAGTACATACGACCATATAATTGGTAACAATTTAAAGGTCAATCACTCCTCTTTAACATACGGTCAACTTCTCGGGTCTAGGTCCTTCAGGAGTAAATATATACGCCAAGCTAGTCGAGATATGGACGATCGGTATACTTAAAGGTGGGTCTAGGACCAATATTTCGCGGCTTTACAAACTCTTGGGGCTGCACAAAGCTATAATACCCTGACAACATAGTTGTGTAGGGTATAAAAAATCCAAAAGCTAATGGGTACACCCATTATTGATCATTTGTGGGATAGAAAAAAATTATCCGTTGTTTAATTAAAACGTTTTTCATTATAAAGTACAGAGATGTCGAGAGTAATTGCTCGAAAACGAATGTGCTGACCTAAATATGATGAAGCTATTCATTTGTCTTTTCTTTCCAAGAGGACTTTTTAAGGAATTCAACATTTAATTCATGGAGTTGTGTCATCGTTTCATTAACTTTAGACAAAATGAATTTCATATTTCGTGGTTGAAATGCAAATGCCGATTCGAATTTAAACCACTCCTCACCAAACAATCAAAATATCCTAGAGCTACACAAAGAATCTGTATCCTATCCACTGGTGAGCAAACTAACGTGTATGAAAGACAACATAATTATTTCAAAACTAGATTTCAACTAGAGTTCTATTCCAGAATTTGAAGTTGTTTGCAATGAAGATGAATATGCTCACCAAATATGTAGTGCAGAAGATGATGATATGAGTACATATGCAGTTCGTTATGGAATTTTCTATTTAGCTAGGAAGTCCATAGATGAATGTGTGAATTATTCTTGCACAGGCATGATTCAACAGGGGAAGAACTGTGTGTTTGGAAATGTTTCCTTTTTCCTGTTGTCTTTGCAATGCGAAAATCATAATTCATTGCCCGTTGTGTTTATGGCAAATCACCCCGATGCAAAGTGGGGTGTGGTTGAATTTATTTACCCAGTTTACGCTTGCAAAGGGTTGACTATTAGACACATTTAATCAAACATAGTCAGCGTAGGAGGCAATGTGCAATAATGTGCATTAACAGCTCTTCAAAGCTACCACATATATTTGTCGAAGATAAACAATTACACACACTTAGAGTGGGAATTGATATATGTACATTGTACACCAGCGTCGGTATACGTGTCATGTCAATGTCTGCGGAACAATGCCGCCATCCATCCAAACGTTGGATAAACATAAAAGTCAAACATGTCAGCCATTGAGAGTGATGTGATATGGCACCAGCAACCAAATGAACATTAGCCATTTACAATGATGGCTGATAATTTGCATTTAGTGTCAAATTATTAGACAGCAAACAAAATGCATTATAGATTCGATCATCCGCTCTGTGTACAGCATGATGCATCGGAAACATATCCATACTTTGCAGTGCAAACATATACATTAGAATGGGTGGTATACATACAAGGGGTATTTTTCTTAAATATTTAAATTAGGTCTTAAACGTTTTTGCTCCCAGTCGAATTTTCATTTATCCACAAAAGATTCATTTTAAAAACACCATTTAATGGCAAAATTACTTTTCTTATTCATCGACATTTTAACCAGTGAGCGGAGCAATATAGTCGGCCGGACCGACCATACCCTACACAACTATTACGAAAATCTAACTTTATGCGGTTCTATATTCTGAGCTTGGGCAATATTTCGCTATATTTACACTCTCTTGACCGACTAGAAGTAAAAAAATGTTACTAACATTCAGTACAGTACTTCTAATTACTTATCCAGATTCCCTTCACCGTGCGTTGTATTGTGATGTTCGGCTTTCAACTGTGACCTATAGATTGACATAAAAGTAAGTTTTCGGTCCACTTCATCCCAAAATTATTATCTGATGATAAACGAAAATTAAAGACCTTGTCCTTAACCATACCTAGATCCTCACGGAAAATTTCCAAGTGATCAGCGCTATATTTCCGCCCTCTAATGTGGTAATGGTTTATTAAATAATATATGAATAAGTAAGCACCTGTAAATATTTATCCCACAACCGAGTACATACGACAATATAATTGGTATCAATTTAAAAGCCAACCACTCCTCTTGGATATACTATTAACATTTCGACTCTATGTGCTTTAGGAGTAAATATCTTCGCTATAGAACACAAATTTTGTCATCTTTCACACAAAAGTCAAGGTCCATTTGACCCGCTAAATATTGGCCGATCTTTACCAAAACAGGCATGCTTATTCTTTGGCCCAATCCCCTTCTCCTTCGAGATGTTTGGGCCATAATTGCGGCATCTGAAGCGACCAAAAAGACAGACAAAAATTAAGTATTTGGCCCATTTCACGGACGGACGGAAACACATGTCTAGATCGACTAAGCTAGTCGAGATAATACGATCGGTATACTTAAAGGTGGGTCTAGGACCAATAATAAGCTATAAAGCTATAATACCCTGACAACATAGTTGTGTAGGGTATAATTAGAAGGTTAAGACGATATGTGCCAACTCAACATTTAGGAATAAGAGGAATAAGTCTCTGTGTGAAAAACTAAAGTCAATAGTCAATGACTGGAAAATCCTGGAAAAGACCCACGAAAAACACATCGACATATTCAACCTATTCGTCGATTATAAAGCCGCATTCGACAGCAGCCCTATCCGTTGAGAGGTGTTTAAACCCGTGTTTGCGTTTGACATTCCTGCAAAATTAATACGGCTATGCAGGATAACATTAACTGCAACAGGGTCAGCAGTTGAAGTCGGAAAGTACCTCTCAGAGCCCTTCAATACCGAACGAGGATTCAGACAAGGTGACAGTTTGTCATGTGACCTGTTTAATATCCTGTTGGAAAAGGTCATACGAGATGTGAACAGAAATGGCACTATGAAAAATAATGTTGGCCAAATGATACTGCTAAGGTCTGAGTAAGCAACTCAAAATCAAGGCCACCTTTCGTCAAACCAATGCCACACTCTACAAGACTCTGATATTACCCGTGTTGTTGTACGGATCTGAAGCATGGGTACTTGCGGAAGATCTATGAGCCGATCTGCGTCGACATAGATATAGTCAGACGTATTGAGCTGCAGAGACTACGTTGGTAGTCTTCATACATTTTGGGAGAATGTATGAAGATGCCCCAGCTCAAAAGGCATAACAAATTGAGCCAAGTGATGGTTCATTCAAGTATTGTCTTCTACTTGAATGAACCATCACTTGGCTGGGAAATT